TCGATTACTTTTGCAAAACACAATTTTCGAATAACATTGAATTTGATTATTTTTTTTTGCAAAACACAATTATTCGAATAACATTGAATTTGATTATTTTTTTTTGCAAAACACAATTATTCGAATAACATTGAATTTGATTATTTTTTTTGCAAAAACACAATTATTCGAATAACATTGAATTTGATTATTTTTTTTTGCAAAACACAATTATTCGAATAACATTGAATTTGATTATTTTTTTTTGCAAAACACAATTATTCGAATAACATTGAATTTGATTATTTTTTTTTTTTGCAAAACACAATTATTCGAATAACATTGAATTTGATTATTTTTTTGCAAAACACAATTATTCGAATAACATTGAATTTGATTATTTTTTTTTGCAAAACACAATTATTCGAATAATACTGAATTTGATTATTTTTTTTTGCGAAACACAATTATTCGAATAACATTGAATTTGATTATTTTTTTTGCAAAACACAATTATTCGAATAACATTGAATTTGATTATTTTTTTTTGCAAAACACAATTATTCGAATAACATTGAATTTGATTATTTTTTTTTTTGCAAAACACAATTATTCGAATAACATTGAATTTGATTATTTTTTTTTGCAAAACACAATTATTCGAATAACATTGAATTTGATTATTTTTTTTTGCAAAACACAATTATTCGAATAACATTGAATTTGATTATTTTTTTGCAAAACACAATTATTCGAATAATACTGAATTTGATTATTTTTTTTTTGCGAAACACAATTATTCGAATAACATTGAATTTGATTATTTTTTTGCAAAACACAATTATTCGAATAACATTGAATTTGATTATTTTTTTTTGCAAAACACAATTATTCGAATAACATTGAATTTGATTATTTTTTTTTTTGCAAAACACAATTATTCGAATAACATTGAATTTGATTATTTTTTTGCAAAACACAATTATTCGAATAACATTGAATTTGATTATTTTTTTTTTTGCAAAACACAATTATTCGAATAACATTGAATTTGATTATTTTTTTTGCAAAACACAATTATTCGAATAACATTGAATTTGATTATTTTTTTGCAAAACACAATTATTCGAATAACATTGAATTTGATTATTTTTTTGCAAAACACAATTATTCGAATAACATTGAATTTGATTATTTTTTTTTTTTTTGCAAAACACAATTATTCGAATAATACTGAATTTGATTATTTTTTTTTTTTGCAAAACACAATTATTCGAATAACATTGAATTTGATTATTTTTTTTTTGCAAAACACAATTATTCGAATAACATTGAATTTGATTATTTTTTTTGCAAAACACAATTATTCGAATAATACTGAATTTGATTATTTTTTTTTGCAAAACACAATTATTCGAATAACATTGAATTTGATTATTTTTTTTTTTTGCAAAACACAATTATTCGAATAACATTGAATTTGATTATTTTTTTTTTTTTGCAAAACACAATTATTCGAATAATACTGAATTTGATTATTTTTTTTTGCAAAACACAATTATTCGAATAACATTGAATTTGATTATTTTTTTGCAAAACACAATTATTCGAATAACATTGAATTCGATTACTTTTTTGCAAAACACAATTATTCGAATAACATTGAATTTGATTATTTTTTTTGCAAAACACAATTGTTCGAATAATATTGAATTCGTTTACCTTTTGGCAAAACACAGTTATTCGAATAACACTGAATTCGATTACTTTTTTTTGCAAAACACAATTATTCGAATAACATTGAATTTGATTATTTTTTTTTTTATTTTTTGCAAAACACAATTATTCGAATAACATTGAATTTGATTATTTTTTTTTGCAAAACACAATTATTCGAATAACATTGAATTTGATTATTTTTTTTTGCAAAAACACAATTATTCGAATAACATTGAATTTGATTATTTTTTTTTGCAAAACACAATTATTCGAATAACATTGAATTTGATTTTTTTTTTGGCAAAACACAGTTATTCGAATAATACTGAATTCGATTACTTTTTAAAAAATGTCCTTATTAGAAAACTTAAAAACATAATTGTAAATCTACTGAAATGTTTTTTTTAAAATTAAATTGAGGTTATTTTATGCGACATTGTATCCAATCACAAACAATAGTTGTAGTTGGAGCAATTAACATTCTTAAAAGCCGATACATTATCATTCTAAAATTGTTCAATTTATTAAGAAACCCGATTTTTCTCCAAGTTTCTATGACTTTAATATTGAAAAATCATAAAATGTATCCTTCTAACAATGATATTAATCGCTATTACGACAAAATTATTCACTAATACGCCATTTTTTATTCTATTATGCCAAAAAATATTTCGGTGGTTCCGAATCCAAATGATAAAGTAATATTAATAAAAAAATATCAGATAATAACTTACATTTTATTCTGATATATCCTTTGTTGGAGGCAAGAATAATCTTTTTATTGCATCCCCAAAATTTATCCTTGCATCGGCATTAAATGAAAAAAAACTACATCAAAAAATCACAGAAAAATTCCAGCAGCTCTTTTTTCCGTGAACTAACGTTCTAAATTTAAAATATTACATTTTTCCATGCGAATTCAAATAACGGATGCCACAAAATCTTAAATATGTCAACGATATTAAAAAGAAACATCCCAAAATAGAATAATTGGATGCTTTCGATCGACGTTTTCGCAGTGAACGAACGTTCTAAAAATAAAATAACATTTTTAGCGCGAATTTAAATAATGGTTTCCACAAAACCTTAACTATGTCAAACGGCATTAAAAAGAACATAATTATTTCGTAATCAAATATAAGTTATTAATGTCAAAAAAATCGTTTTTGTTGATTGTTTCGTATTCTCATGAGTGGCAACATCATAAAAATTGTTTATTTTCTGTATCAGCAGTCGACCTACGTTATAAGCTTCGTCCAGTATTAGCTTATGCAAGCCCAGTTTGGGGTTCTGTCGCTCGTATAAATTTTGAAATTATTCAAAGGCTTGAGAACAAAACTCTCAGAATGCTAACGAATTCACCCTGGTACTTTCGTAATTAGACGAGCTCTCTCGATTCCAAGTTTAAGACAATTTTTTCACAAAATTTCTACTCAATTCTATAATGATATGCGAAACATCCATAACCCCGTTTTAAATATCATACAAAATTAAGATTGTGATATTTCTTCCCGCAAACATAGCAAAAGACCTCGCACTGTTCTAACTATTTTAAATGAATTCCTTACAACTGCCTGGATGAAAAAAGTTCGCTTTTCTCCTAAGCTATTTTTTCTCCTAATTCGACCTTTGCTCATTCTGGGTTATTACATGCAACTGATTTCATCAACATCTACATTTTTGAAATGTTTGATATTTTTCATTCTATAATTTTATCCCACTTGGCTTTCATTCATTATAGAATTGGCTTTTTCATTCTATAATTTTATCCCGGCGGTGCCATGGATGTGTTTGTAGTGGTTCGGAATCCACTTTAAGCCGTAGGTCCCGGTCTCCTATGACTGTAAGAGCGTCACGGAGCAAAAGTCAGACTTGTACCTACGGGTGCTCCATCCCAACAGAAGCTGCTTCCTTCCCCTTCAATCATGAGCACGTATGGGCTCGTGGGCTTGGCCAGCCAAATGGGATAAGAAACAAAAAAATAAGAACATAATTTTATTAAATAAATAATTCTCTTGTTAAAAAAGGCATTTAATTATCTATTTTGCTTATTAACTCAAAGGGCATAAGACCACCGCTCTGTTTCAACATCTTACAATGAAGGAGCTACGCTGCCAAGGATCTCCGTAATAATCTACAATAAGAGAATAAGAGTACAATCTCGTAATAATCGATAATTTATGGGAATAATAATTTTAAAGAATATATATTTCTGTTCTAATTCACTATAAATAAAAATTCTGCAAATAATACTTACTTACCTTAAAATAACACTAAAATTATCATTAAATTGTTCGAAAAAGAAGAAGTTTCGAATTTCTCTAATTGCAGTATTGTAACCCTAAAGAAATTGGCGAAATATTCCGGGTTGCAAGGTTGGCGACTTCCTCAGGTGTACAGTATGTTTAAACCTATATTTTTATTAATATTAGCTTTTACTTATTTGTTTTTGGGTTCATTTTATAATACATATTTCTCAGTGCAAAGTATCGTCCCGGTACACAAAGGGCATCCGCAGCTGCTCATGCAGCTTAAAAACGGAAAGCAGCTGGTGGGCATCTTCTAGGGAATGCAATATCGGACCCAAAGTTCAATACCGGTATTTTTTTTAGATCTTAATACCGGTTTTAATACCGGTAGTAGAAATTTTAGAAAAATAAAGTTTTTTTGTTTTATTTGCCAGGTTTATTAGAGAATTAGGTACTTACGTATTAACGGTACCTTGGCTACAGACTTGGCGGTTTTTAAGTGTCGCCAATCTAACAGCTGCAGATTTGGCGGTTTTTAAGTGGCGCCAATATAACAGCTGCAGATTTGCTGAGTTTTGATGCCATTTTGTAGTGCTACGAAAATGCGTATTTGGAATTTGCCAGAAACAGAACAAGATGCAATTTTATTTTTTCAGGAGCGAAATATTTTACAAAACAACGAAAATGTTCCAATTCCCATGACATGAAACTTTATTTTGGTGAACGTAAATTTTAGAAATGCAGTTTCAGTCAGCGTGCTTATCGTGTGGGACTTAGAAAACTCCATTTGACTACTAAATAAAATGTTTTTGACTAATTTGTGTTTAAATAAAGTGTTTTGAATTTTGAAATCGTTTTGATTTTAAATGAAGTGCTTTATATATTTTATTATTTGGAATAAAAATTTTAAGTGTAGATTGGCGCCACTTAAAAACCGCCAAATCTGTAGCTGCGGTTGGAGCGTGTGCTCTTTATTGGCGCAACTGTCGCCAAGGTACCGTTAATACGTAAGTACCGAGAATTATATTTGCTTATTTATATTTATTTTTATTTGCCGGTTCCCGTTAGATCACCGAAGTCAAGCATCATTGGGCGAGGTCAGTACTTGGGTGGTTGACCACCTGGGAACACCGTTGGCATTCACAAATTTGGGACCTGAATGGCCGAGTGACTAGCGCTCTGGCGCTCGGTGCCACAGGTTTCGGGTTCGAATCCCGGCGGTGCCCTGGATGTTTGTAGTGGTTCGGAATCCACTTTAAGCCGTAGGTCCCGGTCTCCTATGACTGTAAGAGCGTTACGGAGCAGAAGCCAGACTTCTACCTACGGATGCTCCATCAGAACAGAAGCTGCACCCCGCTCCCCTCCTTCCGTGAGGGACACGACAACATTAGAGAATGTAAATATCACAAAAAAACCACTCGAAATGGCAAACCATCTAATGCTGTCATTTTACTTATAATTTTATCCAAATTATCTTTTTTTTTTCAAAATAATCTAAAATCACTGATGGTTTGGGCTTAGAAACTGGGCTTCAGTTTGCATCTTCAAAGTAATTAGATTCTTTCCTTTTTAATAAATGTGTGTCATGTTTCGTTTTTAAATGTGTATGGAGTCCGCTTGTATTTCCTCCATTCACTTTAATAAATCTTGAACATTTTTTACATTGTGCCACCATATTCTTTTCATATAAATAATGAAACCAAACCGAAGTATTATCAACTGATTTTTTATGCTCTTTAAACTTATTCTTATTCATTATTAGTATTATTTATGAGTGTATATATATATAATGAATCTGAAAAAATATTTGGAACTCTGAAGCATGATCTGCAAATATAATATGAATAACAGACTCACCCAGTTAAAAAAATATCGAAAAATTACACTTTTTCATAACTTCAACCTTGTTTTCACAGATAAGAATTCTGAATAATAATTCACAGATAAGAATAAGAATAATTTACAGATAATTAATTAACATAAATAATAATTTACAGATAATTAATTAACAGAAATAATAATTTACAGAATAATAATAATTTAGATAAGAATTCCTAATTTCTAGTAAATACCGAAAAACCGGTATTTAAACTTGTGGATACCGGTATTACAAAATTGTACAAATGGCTCAAAATACCGGTATTCGGTATTGCAATCCCTAGCATCGTCTAAAAAATCAACAAATGAATCCGCAGATTATAATTTTACTTGCAAATTGTCGCCCATTGAAAGCTATGAAACTCCTTCTTTCACTATAATGGACACAACTGTGAGGACAAAGTTATTAAAAGATGTTTCTTGCAATGAATGTGTTTACATATGAAATCATTATCACATGAAAAGGATTTAATCAAATATCAGCAAGCATGTCAAGAAGAATCAAAGCTTTAATCGCATGGAAGAGCGCCCCTACTGAATATATATATATATTTTTGTTCTCATGCAGCTGGCAAACACTTAGACAGCTTAGTCTTGAATGCTTTAAGGCAAGGGCTGCACAGATGTTACTCACTTAGCACTACTCAGGAGGAGCGTGCAGCTTGAAGATAAGCTATGAACGCGGATTAACACTACTTCCTCAACGCTCTACAATATTATTAGACCGGCACCTACGGTTTAAAGAGGATTCTGAAGACACTCCATTTAATGAAATATTCTAAAAATGTGCGGTGTGTCTAATAATTTGCCCCAGGAGCTAAACTCACATTTTCATTTGATTCCGAAAATTATTGTAACAGTTACCGTAGGGTTCTGAAGCAAAAAATACTTTTTCAGACATTCAGTGGAGAGTTTTGAATTCAATATCCTAACAGTTCTTGAAGAAAGTGATCTTCTAGGTTGTCTACAAAAAACCAGAAATTTATGATCGTATCTCTAAGGATTTTGGAAACAAACTGAAAACTTTTTTTTTTTGAAAATTAAAGCTCTCATCTTTAACAATAAAAATAATCCTATTTTTCTTCAATTTCTTCTATTAGCTCACACTCTCCCTATATATATCTTGTTCACATTTTCAATCGTTCATAAAATACTTTTTATTCATCCACTCAAGTTAAAATACGTTTTTTTTTTAACTTGCAGTGGATGACACTGGATGTTAATGCAGTTTTTTCAAATATTAATACATTCATTCAATTTAATTCACTAATTTTAGGTTTTTTTTCAGATTTAAGTTGCATGTATCTACCAATAGATGGCGCCAGATGTAACAGGAAAATTTCAACTTAAAAAAGTAAGAATTCACTTAATTCATTTTAGTTTTTTTAAGATTTAAGTTGCATATATCTACCAGTAGATGGCGCCCGATAAACTTAAAAAAAACGAATGAAAATTGTTTATAAAACACTTTCTGCATTACAGTGAAAAAAAAGTAGGAATTGACTTTTAAAAAAAAATTTTTAATATTACTTGTTTTTACTTTTCTTTCCATTTTTTTTTTTTTTTTTTTAATAAAAAACAGAATTTCTGTCTTTTTCGATGTACAAGATTATTACAGTTCTGAAGATAACATTTCTTGTAGTAGATGCGTCATTTGTTTGTTTGTGCAGCTGGACTTTAATTTTTTTTTATATATTACTAGTTTCCACGAAGATCGTGATTTGATTGTGGTCTCCCAAAAAAGCAAAAAGCAATCCGAAATCTGCGGTAAAACAAGTAATATAAAAAAAAAAATGTAAAGTCAATTCCTACTTTTTTTTCACTCTATTGCAGAAAGTCCGGTACTTACGTATTAACGCTACCTTGACTACAGTTGCGCCAATAAAGAGCAATCTTGTTGTTCGCACGCGCACGCAGTCATCTTTTGAACGCCAATCGCAGCTACAGATTTGGCGGTTTTTAAGTGGCGCCAATCTACACTTAAAATGTTTGTTCCAAATAATAAAATATATAAAATACTTCATTTAAAATCAAAACGCCTTCTAAATTCAAAACACTTTATTTAAACACAAAGTAGTCGAACGGAATTCTTCTTCCCTCAAACCAGTTGTCTTTTCTAAGTCCCACACGATAAGCACACTGACTGAAATTGCATTTCCAAAACTTAATTTCACCATAATAAAGTTTCATGTCATGGGAATTGGGACATTTTCGTTGTTTTGATAAAATATTTCGCTCCTGAAAAAATAAAATTGCATCTTGTTCTGTTTCTGGCAAATCCCAAATACCCATTTTCGTAGCACTACAAAATGGCATCAAAAATCAGCAAATCTGTAGCTGTTAGATTGGCGCCACTTAAAAACCGCCAAATTTGTAGCCAAGGTAGCGTTAATACGTAAGTACCGAAAGTCCTTTATAAATAATTTTCATTCATTTTTTGAAGTCTATCTGGCGCCCTCTATGGGTAGATAGATGCAACTTAAATCTAAAAAAAAATTAAAATGAATGAATTAAATTTAATGACTGAATTAATATTTGAAAAAAAACTGTATTCACATCCAGTGTCCCCACTGCAAGTTAAAAAAAAAATGTATTTGAACTCGAGTGGATGAATCAAAAGTATTTTTATGAACGATTGAAAATGTGAACAAGATATACATATAGGGAGAGTGTGAGCTAATAGAAGTTTGGTTTGTCGCTCTACGGTCATCTCATGCACTCTTTTGAGCTAAACAGACCGGGACCTACAGTTTAACGTGAATTCCGAACCACTCACAAACATCCATGCCACCGCCAGGATTCGAACCTGAAGCCTGGGACACCAAAAACCAGAGCGCTAGCCACTTGGCCACCAGGCCGCTGAGCTAATAGAAGGTATTGGGGAAAAAAAGCAAAAAGCAAACCCTAATCTATGGTAAAAAACACCCTCCATGTGTTGTGCAGTTTGCATTACTTGTCTCTCTTTATATATAAACTCTTTCATCAAAGAATATTCGCGAGCAAACGAAATCCTCTGACACGATTATTTGCGTCCCGAAGATTGTCACGTTTATTTATAGAAGGACAAGCGATCGATCGGCAGACGATTGCCCGGCAACACAATGCCCTTCGCAAGAAGGCTTTGTTCCATAAGGGTGGGGGGGGCATATTTGCGGCTCGTCATGTTTCATTCATTCCAGGCCGATATTTTATTCGACTTTTGCTCATTCCGGGTTATTACATGCAACTGATTTCATCAACATCTACATTTTTCAAATTTTTGATATTTTTCATTTTATAATTGTATTAAATAAATAATTCTTTTTTTTAAAAGGGCATTTAACATTAACTCAAAGGGCATGACGTCCCCGCTGTGTTTCAACATTTTACAAAGAAGGAGCTACGCGGCCAAGGATCTCCGTAATGATCTACAATAAGATATTTTATTGAAATGTCTTCATATTTATGCATTAAATTCAATAGGGTACTGAACTGAATCTTCAACTGAAATAATTCGTAGGACATACTCTCAATTCGGGCTTGAATGGCCGAGTGGCTAGCGCTCTGGTACTCGGCACATACTGGTTTCGGGTTCGAGACCCGGTGGTGCTATGGATGTTTGTAGTGGTTCGGAATCCACTTTAAACCATAGGTCCCGGTCTAATAGGATCGTAGAGCGTTGCGGGGGCATGTTACTCCGCGTCCGTAGCTTATCGTCAAGTTACACGCGTCCCCTGGGTAATGGAAAGTGAGTAACGTCTGTGCAGCAGCCTGATGGTCAATTGGCTAGCGCTCTACCCTTTGGTACCACAGGCTTCAGTTTCGAATCCTGGCGGTGGCATGAATGTTTGTGAGGGGTTCGGAATCCACGTTAAACTGTAGGACCTTGTCTAATGAGCCTAAAGTGTGCACAAAATGACACTGTAGAATAACAAACCAAACCAACTACAAAGTCGTAAAAAAGCAACTTTTGTATTTATGAATAAAGACCATTAAATAGAACAACATAGTCGATTACTTCTCATCTTGGGGCCTGAATGGCGGAGTGGCTAGCGCTCTGGCGCTCGGTACCACAGGTTTTGGGTTCGAGTCCCGGCTGTGCCATGGATCTTTGTAGGGGTTCGGAATCCACTTTAAACCGTAGGTCCCGGTCTAACATGATCGTAGAGCGTTGCGGGGGCATTGTGACTCCGCGTCCGTGGCTTATCTTCAAGCTGCACGCACCTCCTGTGTAGTGCTAAGTGAGTAACATCTGTGCAGCGCTTGCCTTAAGGC